TAAGCCGATTAAAGCATTATATATTCCGTTTCCCGTACTTTACACTATACGTGTATTCCGTTAACGTTGTATTTATTTCTTGCATTTGACACACGGTTTGCATAAATATCACCGCGTTGCATAATAATATTTCCGTGTCCCATGAACGAATATGGACGGCCTGTCACGTGACAATTAACGAAACATTCAAATTATTTGGAAAGAGAAATGGTTGGCCATGCAAATTGCATAAGACAAACTTTGTTTTCAATTTAGAAGACAAATTAGTCTGGCATGAGTGATGCGGTACAAGCACTGATGCCCGAAGCAAACGAGTTAACATAATTGCGTTTATTGGAGAGCCATCTCTTGTGAACTGTTAGGTTAATGCATATTAAATGGCCGATTTCGTAACATCTAGTTTGCTGTCATAAAACCGATAGGTACTAATTCTGATTTTCTATTGCCGGAGGTACATTTCGGTTTCATTGATATTATTATAGAAATGTGTGCACCATTTCGTTTATTTAATTATTGTTATTACGTGTTTTATTTAACTATTATTATATATTTAATTTGTTTCTTTGGCGATTTTGATCAATTCAAATGCTTGGTGATTCTCGGTGGATTTGACTGATTGAAATAGGGATTATATGTGTGATACATTAGACTCTTGTTATATTGCATTTTTTGTATTAGCAGTCAACATTATTAAATTTACAAATTTTTATAATTCACACATTCAGAAATTTGAATCTCATCCCAAAAGGCCAAATTTCCAAGAGAAATTTTTAACTCTTGCTATATCGCCATTATCTATATTAGGAGTTAAAATTATTAAAATTACAAATTTGTATAATCCTCACATTCAGAAACTTGCATTTCTCTTTTAAAAACCAAATTTCCAAGAGAAATTTCCAACTCTCGCTATATTGCCATTATCTATATTACGAGTTAAAATTATTAAAATTACAAATTTGTGTAATCCTCACATTCAGAAACTTGCATTTCTCTTCCAAAAAACCAAATTTCCAAAAGAAATTTTCAACTCTCGTTATATTGCCATTATCTATATCACGAGTTAAAATTATTAAAATTACAAATTTGTGTAATCCTCACATTCAGAAACTTGCATTTCTCTCCAAAAACCCAAATTTCCAAAAGAAATGTTCAACTCTCGCTATATTGCCATTATCTATATTACTAGTCAACACTACTAAATTTACAAATTTTTATAATCCCCACATTCAGAAATTTGAATCTCTCTTTCCACATCCCTTTCCAAGATAAATTTTCCCCTCTCGCTATATCGCCATTATACAAATCTCTTGGCACAACTCTGTTTTCGAATAATACTCCTCAAAATTTATTATCAAAACCTCTATTATCGCACAGACCATTAAACTCCGAGGCTACATTAAAACATGAAAGTTTATTGTACAACTCGTAGATTAGAGAAAAGTTATAAAACTGCACGGTTTCGCAACTCCGTTAAAATGTATCCAAAACACTCGCAGTGGAAAGGAAATTAAATCTCAAAGCTCTTAGTCGATTTCAATTAGGTCAATGTTCAAGGAAACCTTCCTTTAAAATAGAGAAAATTATCCTACTTAAAATTGTATGTAAACCTTAGACTTTTCAATTATTATTTAACAATTTTTTAAAAATTTGTATACATATTTTTTTCGAGGTTTTGAGTTGTTTTGTGTTGGAGTTATAATTCGTTGATAAAGTTTCGGGCTATCGATTCGTTCTAAGCAGCTCTTACTGCTGACAGTAGAAAAGATCTATCGATAAAGCAGGCTCGTTGACATTTTGTAGCTACTTTTTGCACGAAGCACTCTCAAAAGGCGGGAAACGCGGACAATCAGTGTAGAAATTAAAATTCTACGAAAATTTATTTAAACAGGATACCTCGCACCGTACTCTCAATTGCGTTCTTTCAAATTTAATATAAAAGAATATTTGAAATTTGTGGGTTTTTATTATTTACAGCTTGAATGGAGACATTCCGCGTGAAGTTTTCTTTGCGAGTGACAGGGGTGCGAAAAATGGCCACTGTACATATATTATCTTCCTGCCGAGGGAAAACCTCATTCACCGATTTCAATGAAACCATGAGAATTTATAGTTTATTTTGCAGAAATCCAAGATATAAGATTTCCTTAATAAAATATTAGAATGTATAATCAGTACTTTTGTATATACACCCTTGTAATTTTAATGAGTCCATCAGCTTTTGTCTCCGAAATATCTTGAAACTTGTCTTCCAGTTAATTTCATCGAAATCTCACTCCGTTCCCCATTTACAGTTTGCATCATTGTATTGCAGCCCTACTAACGCTAATTGTAAGCGTGATCTGGGAGACGGAGTAAAATTAGCTGAAACTAAAATGGCATTCGTAGAGAAAACCTTGCGAGATAATCGTCTTGGGAAACTTGTCGTGTCCTTCTCTTTATTCTTATAAAAAAGTAACTTTAATTGGAAATAATTTATGCTCATTTCGAGTTCAGTTTGTTCTTTTATACAATTAGAGAAATTTGAAAGTTGAGAAATTTTTCGAGAATATAGGAAAATTGTAAGGTTGTGAGTTTGGGAATTTTTATTTTTGTGATGGAAATTTGGGGGATTACTAATTTGGGAGAATAGTAATTTGGGGGAGTAGTAATTTGAGGGAATAGTAATTTGCAAATTTGGAAATTTGGGAGATTGGTAATTTGAGGGAATAGTAAATTGACAAATTTTGAAATTTTGAAAATGTCAGAGGTTATCAACAGGAATTGGGGAATGTGGGAATTGGGGATTTAGGAATTGGGGGATTTGGGAATTTGGTGGAAATAGGGGAATGTAGGAATTAGGAAATGTGGGAATTGGGGAATGTGGGAATAGGACAATGTGGAAATAGGGGAATGTAGGAATTAGGAAATGTGGGAATTGGGGAATGTGGGAATGGGAATGATGGAATTGGGGAATGATTGGAAATAGGGGAATGTAGGAATTAGGAAATGTGGGAATTGGGGAATGTGGGAATAGGACAATGTGGAAATAGGGGAATGTAGGAATTAGGAAATGTGGGAATTGGGGAATGTGGGAATAGGACAATGTGGAAATAGGGGAATGTAGGAATTAGGAAATGTGGGAATTGGGGAATGTGGGAATAGGACAATGTGGAAATAGGGGAATGTAGGAATTAGGAAATGTGGGAATTGGGGAATGTGGGAATAGGACAATGTGGAAATAGGGGAATGTAGGAATTGGGAAATGTGGGAATTGGGGAATGTGGGAATGGGGGAATGTGGAAATTTTTCAAACAAATTTTGAAATTCATGAAATTTATAATTTGGAAATTTGGAAACTAGGGAGAGTGGTAATTTGGAAACTCGAAAGATTAGTAATTTCGTAGATTTAGAAAATTTCTAAATTCCTAACCCCACTTGCCACTACCTTCTGTCACTTTCCTCTCGTTATATCGCCATTAACGATTCCTCCCACCTGCACCTACCTCCTCATCAAGAAATCTATTATAACACGTCTGAACTATCAGAATATATACTCTCTCAATTAAAAAAAGATAAAAATTGTGATGTACACGTTGACCTATTTTCCACCAGAGTAAAAGAGGATGTTAAGAAAATAGTGGAGGCTGACGACGTCTTGATGTAATTATCTTCAGTTCATCCTTCTTCTATACAAATTTCCTGCTCTTTATCCACTGTCTACCAAGCTTTTAGTGGTAAGCGGGCCTCTACTATCCTGGAAATACGAAACTTTCGGATTTGCTAAAGCTTTTCTTTCTCACGGTTAAGTGGCGTGTCTAAACCCCTGTTCCAACAAAGAAATGCAATCTCCAAAAAATTGCTAAGAAACCTTTTGCCTTCGAGTCTTAAGAAATACAATCATTTATATCGGTCTGCAATTCCTTTCTGTTTTATATCGCTTGTAGTTTATGTATCCTATACGGCGACTGTTGATTGATCTGCCACAGTGCTTCTCAACTTTTCTGAGATACAAATTTTATTTAGTTATGTGCTTTTGTTTGCAGTGAAATGTTGATATTCTCACATTGTCCAATTCTCCACATATCCCAATTCCCACATATCCCAATTTCCACATATCCCAATTCCCACATATCCCAATTTCCACATATCCCAATTCCCACATATCCCAATTTCCACATATCCCAATTCCCACATATCCCAATTTCCACATATCCCAATTCCCACATATCCCAATTCCCAAATTCCCCAATTCCCACATTACCCAATTCCCACATATCCCAATTCCCACATTCCCCAATTCCCACATATTCCAATTCCCATATCCCCCACTTCCCACATTCCCCAATTCCCACATTTCCTATTTCCTACATTCCCAATTCCCACATATCCCAATTCCCAAATTCCCCAATTCCCACATTCCCACATTCCCAAATTCCCACATTCCCCAATTCCCACATTCCTCAATCCCCACATTCCCCAATTCCCACATTCCCGAATTCCTTTTGATAACCTCTGACATAGTACATTACAAACGACGCGAAAACACTGTACACAAGTTATTCGAAGAGAAAAATTGCGCGTATCACGTGTTCCGCAAATCTCATTTGTAAGATACAATAGCAACGATGCAGACATGGAATACATATTCGATAAGTGGTAGGAAAAGGAATTATGAGCATTCTATGGCTTCGTTCTGTGAAAGAATATATTCTTTACAAAACGTCACAGAGTTCATATTAACACAGTCATTAATTAATTTCACACTTATTAATTTTGAAAATTGGAAATCGTCCTACGAATTTAAATATACGAAAACTTCTAAATTAAGCAGAGTTAAAAATTGAATTATTACAAATCTTATCCCACATTTGATTGATAATATATTTACTTGCGTACTTTTCGCAGCCTACAAAAATAAGAAGTTCTAAAAGATTTTCCGTCCTTATTGTTCCAGAACAGCGTGAAAGTTTTCTGCTGTCAGCGTGGAGGGAAAAAATCAATCAAGAAAGTACGATGTCACAATGCCACAAAACGAACATCACGATATCGTCGACAGTAGTACGTATTTGAACAGTGTACAAATAACGTTACCAAAGAAGTTATCTCCCTTCGGCAAAGTTCTCAAAGTCGGATTTAAAAGTCATTTTTCATTTCCGTTATTCTTCGTACGACGTATCGATTAATCTTCTTTTGGATTAAATTTTATTTACTTTTCATCGGTACTCTTGGTGAATTATTACATTTTTTGAACGAGGTTTTATAAAATGAAATAGCAACAGTTTTATTGATATTTTAAAAAAAAATTTAATATTTCGTTTTTTTTAGAGACGTTACTGATTTTTTTTGGTCTCATTAATTAATTTTTTTAAAATTATAATAATGGTACTATTTAAATTTTGATAAATTTATGTTATATTTAAAGGGGTGTTATTATAATTCGTTATAATATTAGTAAAATTAGTATTGGTCATTTGGGACAGTTTCTGGGTTAGTTTGTACGCAGGAAACGAAAGAACCAGAATAGAATTACCTTTGCGACAGGAAATATAAAGATCAAAGAAGATGAGACCTCAGAGAGGCTTCAATTAGAATTTACATTTCACTGTGGTAGCCTTCCAATCGTAATCTTTAAGATTGCACTTTAAAGCTTCCGAGACTTAGCTTTGTTCACGTGGAATCTCATTATATTGCCGGTTCACCGAATTTTCCTTAACAATTTTGGGAATTATTTCCAACCCTGTCATTATTGTTCAAGGTTTCAGAATTATCATTTTATTTAATTTGCGAGTTAACAATGTAGTTACTCAAATATGCAAAATGGCAATATAACAAGAGTCTACTGTATTGGTTCTACCCCTTGCATAAATATACAAAATTATATCTATAAACTCACATAAATAAATTTGATAACTAAAAAACTAGAAAATTGGAAAATATGCAAAATGGCAATATAACAAGAGTCTACTGTACCCGCTCTACAATCCCCATGCACAAACGTATAAAGTCATATGCATTTCTAAACTTACATAAATTCACATATTATCACTGCACACGTTCAGAATTACAGAAACTGCAATATATAGAGAGTTACAAAGTTTCAAACTCTGCTACTATATAACCCTTAGCGCCATTATACTGATAGCTCGACACGATACCAAGTTTATTTGATATGGAAGTATGTTAAACAAATTGTTAATTTGTTTAGGACACGTGACAAAGATTGAACTGGAGCTGGAAGAGGCTCCGGATGATTCGGTCCCCGTCGGATCAATTGCGACGGAATTGGATGTCACCACCGAAATCAATTCCACGTATCCGGACGGTGAGTTGAAAATCTCACAAAACCCCATAGAGACTATAGCCCTCGTTGCTTTCATTCGAGAAGTTTCGTGTAGACCTTCGATTTGATCCGCATCGACATTTGAAATCGGGAAACGTCGAAAAAAAGCGGCGACGGTTCTTTTCAAGTTCGTTTCGCTTTCGGTTCATTGTACTCTATTGATCCGCCGTTTAATTAAGCGAACGACTCTCAATTTACGTTTCTGTGCAAATCTATATCGCGTACTGTTCCAAGGACGATTATAAATTCGGAAATAATACTGTAGGTAGAAGATAAGGTAGAAACAATAAATTTTTAGATTCGAAGCCCCGATAACTGTCATAAAACAATATTAATTTTTTGAGAAAGAAAAAATATTCTCACAAATTTCATTAATTTTTATTTTAAAGAACATAATCACTGTCTACTACACTTATGAATTACATACAATTAGTAATTGTTAATAAAATAAACTCTATTCGCTCGATAATTCATAAGAATACCGCCCCAAAGCCCCAAGAGCAGGGAATTACCGAGCGGCGACTGTAGAACGAAGTTACCAGAAAGAATTTGGGTCGTACCTTATTAATAACACTATTATACTTTACAACAGAGTATAATAGACATTACGTTTTTCAAATTAATTATAATATTTAAACAAAGTAGTTCATTTGAAATGAAAATTTTCATACCGACGACGGAAAGTTCATGTGGTTTTCCAACCTGGTGAATATGCATATGCATATTTCAGACATCATCTTGTATCTTTACTCCCGTAACCATTATCAATATTTAGTTACGTCTGCACGCAAGAAATGAGCTACTAAACCTGCAAAATGTAAAGGAAATTACCGGGTATCTGAAATTTTACGGCTTCCCTTCTACATTAAAACTAAGCATCTGGTTTGATTCCGCTATCATAAAGCGCGAATACCACCGACATGGAACATTATGGGTACCATTATCGTAAACGGATACACAAGCACCGCTATATCTTTTAAAAATACATTTGCTAATGTGAAAAGGAATTAGCATTATTTTCATTAAATTATTTATCTTTTTAATGCATTACTTTCTGGCTTTTCAAGTGGTACAACTTTTAAGTGGTGAAATGTTCTTATAATGGGGCGTTCCTGTGGTAGGCGCGGTTTATAGTGGGGTGTTCCTATGCTGGAACGCCTTTGTAGTAAACAGTTTCACCGACGGGACATTCTTGAGTTGAGTCATTTCGTTGATGGGCCTTTTCTGTGTTGGGCAGTGCCACTGCAGGGGTGTTTTACTTATGAGTCGTTTCTTTGGTAGGCTGTTCCACTGATGGGGCGTTACTTTGATGGGCGATTCCACTGAGGGGGCGTTCCACTTATGAGTCGGTCCTCTGGTAGGCCCTTTCACTGATGGGGCGTTGCTACAGTGGACCCTCCCACTGATGGGGCGTTCCCACAGTGGACCCTCCCACTGACAGGGCGTTCCTACGGTGAGAGGTACCACTGAGGGGGCGTCCCACTTATGAGTCGTTCCTCTGCTAGGCCTTTCCACTGATGGGGCGTTGCTACAGTGGACCCTCCCACTGATAGGGCGTTCCTACGGTGGGTGGTACCACTGTGGGGGCGTTTCACTTATGAGTCCTTCCTCTGGTAGATCCTTCCACTCATGGGGAATTCCTACAGTGGACCCTCCCACTGATAGGGCGTTCCTACGGTGGGTGGTACCACCGAGGGGGCGTTCCACTTACGAGTCGGTCCTCTGGTAGGCCCTTTCACTGATGGGGCGTTCCCACAGTGGACCCTCCCACTAATAGGGCGTTCTATGATGGGCAGTACCACTAAGGGGGCGTTCCTATAGTGGGCTGGCCCACTGGTGCCTACTCGTACAGTGGATTATTCCACTAATGGAACGTTCTACTAACGAAATATTCTATATCAAAACTTTTCTATATATGAATGTTTCTACGGTGAGGTGTTTCTACATTAAGACATCTCTAGCATGAAACGTTTTTATCTCAGGGCGTTTCTATCTTGGTTTACATTTATCTTGAGGCGTTCCCACATTAACATGTTCCTTGGAGTACACTTATCTTAACGCATGCGTATGCTAAAGCGTTAGATCTCCATAGTGGAGGGTTCCTAGTTTATAGTTTTCCTGTATAGGATGTTAAGTCGTGTTTCTAAGATGGATAGCTAAACTAACAGAACCCTCTGTTGCGTCTTCCGACTTCAGTCGTCAAAAACCCTTTTCTCGACATTTTCACCACAGCAACCCAGCAGTTCCGCTGTTCAATTCACTCTAGCAATCTGAACGTCCAAATTCTCTCCTCAGACAATACCCTTAAGACTACCTAATACACTCGTGCTAAGTGATTTGATTTCAAGGTATACACATTCTAACTCTGCAGATTCCCGAAGGATTCGGTTTGCTGGAATTAGTTCGTAATATAATCATACTGGGATAGTTAGATAAGAACTTGCCAGAAAGTTAGTGCTAAGGATCATCTTTCGGACTGCAAGTGTAGTTCCGTCAAAGCTGTACGACAGGTGCTCTGAGGGTACCACAATGCAATTTCTCTATCGAATTAATATCTACGAGTTAAGAGCTGTTTCGTTATTGACTTCGGCTAACGAAATAACCATGAAGAACTTCTGTATCTGGCTTAAGAGTTTTGTCATTATTCTACAACCATTTCGTATGTGTATTTTCTTGCTTTTAAGTTGATTACAAAACTGTGACCTTGAACTATTTTGTGACTGGTTGCCTTGTCTACGTTTTATGGTAACACATATTTAACCTAAGCTAACACACGTGATTGTAGATTATTGTAAATAAAAATAGGAATTGCTTCACGTGTTTTAGGTCCAGGAGCAGTCGTAGTCAGAGCCGAGGAGGCTTTGATAGTAATCCTGGTGCTTTTCCTGTGGGCGGCAGCGATCGCCCTGTTCTTCAATCGATGGGGGAAGATCAGGATGTTGGAACCATATCAACCCAAATTCCAGCAGCAACACAGACCGAGCTGTACCATCATCGATCAAAATCAACTACAAGTATGGGCACTTATATCATTATATGTAACCAAATATTTAACAGAAAAAGATCTTCAAATTCGGGGACCAAATTCGTTGTTTTCAAGGTCTTTTTATTTATGTGGAAGCATCTATGTTTCAATATTAAAGTTTCATACAAGGTAGCTTTGGTGGTTATTTTGTATTTATGAAGATGTGTCAGAAAATGGCTTCTGCAAACTTGACCTCGCACCACATTTTCAAGGTCAAATTTCTTTTTCATTGCAACGTGTTCTACTCTGTGTGAGGATCAAAAGTTCCAAATGAACTACATGTGTAAAATTAACCGTTCTCCTAGAAAATGACATAAAATGACCTCGCACCACATTTTCAAGGTCAATTTTTTTTTCATCGCAACGTGTTCTACTCTGTGTGAGGATCAAAAGTTCCAAATGAACTATACGTGTAAAATTAACCATTCTTCTAGAAAATGACATAAAATGACCTCGCACCACATTTTCAAGGTCAAATTCTTTTTTCATCGCAACGTGTTCTATTCTGTGTGAGAATGAAAAGTTCCAAATGAACTACATGTGTAAAATTAACCATTCTGCTAAAAAATGACATAAAATGACGTCTCACCACATTTTCAAGGTCAAATTTCTTTTTCATCGCAACGTGTTCTACTCTGTGTGAGAATGAAAAGTTCCAAATGAACTATATGTGTAAAATTAACCCTTCCCCAAAAATGACAAAAACCACCCCCACCAGTAGCAAAAGCCCACTAACACAGTTCTCTCGCTCATAAAACGAAAAACTATCAATTTTTTTAGACTCCGTGCCTTCCAATTAGTCATTACGAGTATACAGCAGGGTATTTAGTATGCAGGTACGCGGAATGAAAGCTGCAGGGTCAAATTGCCGACCTTGCCGAGAAATTATAGCGAGGGTCGTTTAGCAGTAACCTCTAGAATCTTCAATCAAGGGTTCAGAATCTTTTCCAATACCGAATAGGATGGCCTTTGGCTACCACTGGAATTGGTGGCTGCAGGAATCCAGATATGTGGCTCGGTTTCCTGCGGTACGACGGCCGGTGTCAAAGCAGCGGAAAAGTGTGATCGTACAACAGGATTTTATGTCGGCCCAAATTAAATTCTTCCTTGTCGTATTCGAACACTGGGATACATGGTGGCTATTTCTTTTTGTTGTTCGTCCAATTTTGCTCTCTATTTCTTCTGCCGACTGCTTTACAGAATTTGGCAGCTGATATTAAGATTATTCTCTCATGTGACCTGTCTGAGGACCTAACCTTCTGAGGAAAACTTTGCATTGATCTTACATTTTTGCATTGTTCTTACATCTTTACATTGTTGCTACATCTCTTCATTGTTTCTGGATCTCACTGTACTTTGTTCATGCAACGTGTCACATTATCTTCAAAATGTGACACATGGATGATGTAAGTGTTCTGCAAGTAGCATGATTTCAGGGAATAAATTATGAAGGTTTTATATGTGAATTTATGTTTGTATACACAAGAAGATATAAAGGCCAAGTTTTTTTAATGGAGTTTATCTGTGTACACAAATGTATTAAGTTACTTACGGCAACAGTTTCGAAGGTATTTTGATTTCAGTATCAATACCATTACAGAACAGCTCTGTCGCATCTAACATCTCCTGGATGTTTGTAAACAGACGTATGACGTATCGAGTTTCCAGATATAACCTTTAGATTCCTCGTGACGTTTGACAAATGTCTATGCAAAATTATGAACACTAATCCAAAACAAATTAATATCAATAAATTATTGTTCTGTAAAAATGTTATGAAACTTTCAGAAATTTCAAGGTCACAAAGGTCTAAATATAGTAATTGAAATATGAGTCGTATATGTGAAAAGCAATTTGGACGTGTTTCCTAGGCGGACAGATTCCAGTAGAGATGTGCCATCAGAAATTAACCGTGTACAATAAATCAATAATGCTCCGATAATCGGAATGATCGGTCGTTATCTTAAAGCTACATTAATCACTATGGCAGTTGCGATAACAGACGCCGATAAGTAAATAGAGGTGGAGGGAAAAGAATAGTTATGTGCATAGATGCGTGGAATCAAACGTGATAGGATTTTATTTATGTAACTGCTATATTATGTTGTGTTTTGTTAAATTTTTGGGGGAGAAGTGGACATTTTAGGGTTTAGGGATTTAGGGATTTGGGGATTTAGGGAATTAGGGATTTAAGGATTTAGGGATTTGGGGATTTTGGGATTTTGGGATCTAGGGATCTAGGGATTTTGGGATTTTGGGATCTAGGGAATTTGGGATCTAGGGATTTGGGGATTTGGGGATTTGGGGATTTGGGGATTTGGGGATTTGGGGATTTGGGGATTTGGGAATTTGGGGATTTGGGGATTTGGAAATTTGGGAGATTGGTAATTTGGAAATTTGGAAATTTGAGAGATTGGTAATTTGGAAATTTGGAAATTTGGGAGATTGGAAATTTGAGAGATTGGTAGTTTGGAAATTTGGAAATTTGAGAGATTGGTAATTTGGAAATTTGGAAATTTGGGAGATTGGTAATTTGGGAGATTGGAAATTTGAGAGATTGGTAATTTGTAAATTTGGAAATTTGGGAGATTGGTAATTTAGAAATTTGGAAATTTGAGAGATTGGTAATTTGTAAATTTGAAAATTTAGAAATTTGAGAAATTGGTCATTTTGGATATCAGAAATTTGCAAATTTGTAAATTTGAAAATTTGAGAACCCTGAACCCTGAAAATTCCAAAATCCCTAATTTTCTAAACCCCTCCAAATATGATTTACAGTCACCTAACTGACTTGCAATTAAAAGACACCCTCTGGAACCCTCTACCCACAAAACACATACATCCCTGCATCATCAATCATCAATCGACGCCACCATCCCCCATCCACAAAACACGTATCAGTTCACGGATCACTGATATTTACGAGCAAGCTTTATCTCCACGATTACAACACCGTAACCCGTCTTATGTCTTAAGCTTAAACTTCGTAAGCTCTTAGGTCCACAGCCTTTCAATAGCAGTCACCGATCAGTGCCATATTTCATAGCAGAGTTTCTCACCTGAAAGAGAGCCTTGCTACTAAAATCTCTTTGCACCTCATTAGCTAGACGTCATTTAAGAAGAATTTGTTCCGGTGAATGGTTTAAGACCTCCATAAATGCCAGTCAGTATGCTGAGCTTCCGCGAGAAAAATGTCCCTATCATTCGCTACATTAGTTGCGGTATTCTTATAGAGTCATTACTTTCACTGGAATAAGAGAAACCCTTGAATTTATATTAAGATAACTTCGTTCTTTGTCTTCGTTCCAAAAATGCATATCAAAAGTACTATCATTGGTTAGATACTACCAAAAATACACATCACTATATATAGGTTAAAACTGTTCATCAGATGTGACAAGAGGCGAGAGATGAAAGAGTACGCAGACTTCCTTTCGGGATCAATTAGTTTGACTCGACAAGCAATATGGCACCTATCATTCTCGAAATGTCTCATTCGAGTAATTCAGTCGTTCGTAGAATTTCACCATGTTCATCTGATTCAGCAGAAAGAGTTCATAACATATCACCTTGTCATCCCACCGGGAGTGTCCCTCTCCAGAGTGAATATCCATAGATATTATATTTTCGTGTCAACGTGTTCAATTCTGTGCAATCTACCTCTATCCGTCACGCTCAGAATTATGGCACCAAATGCATTTTCGTTCTCCACTTCGTTTCGCTACAGAAACTCTTTAAAAGTGCGAGGTGGTGGACCGAAGCGCCGCCATGTTACGGTCACGTGACGGCAGCCATTTTCCTCCTCTCCGTGTAACCGCTTGAAACGGCGGATTAAAGCACTTCACGTTGTACGATGAACTGTTATGCGCTCGGTTTTCATAAATGTCCTCCGGTTAACCCTATGTAAACGCAGTCGCAGGAGTTTATTTGCGCAGCTAATATTACTTGCGAATTACGGAGCATTTTACCCAGTTTACACGAGACATTTTCGTGTTTGACTAGCAATAAATTTTGGGGAGCAAACGTTTGCATGCGGGCGGTTGGGTCACTGTGCTGTCCTCGCGTTGCTATTTTCTTTGTTCAAGCTTAGCATGCAAGTTTCAAGATGTACTATAGTTTTGAATTATATCAGTAGTTTAGAATTAACATACTGTTTCCTCAGTGAAGTAATAAGAATTTTTCGTGTTTTTGTGTTAAAATAAAATAATAGCAGCATTAAAAATAATAAAATAAGTGAAACAGTTAATAATAAAATTTTGCTTGGAACTCCATATCAGTTAATTAAGTTCGCGATTTAGGAGGAAAGCACTTTTCTCCAAAAGCAATTACCGTGGGACCTCATTTGGTTAAAAATTCAATAAACTCTAAACTGATTTTTAAAATAGGAATTAACGAAACAGTTAAACACTTACTGTAATGAGAAACCGTAAAAACCTTAAAGCAAGAAAAAAGGCAAATCTAAAACCAATCAGAAGCTAAAACGACTCTAAAACCTTTTATGCTAATTCCTTCAATTTGCAAGATTAAAGACGGATGAGCTGCGGCGGTGGATCTTTTTAACACATTTCGGGTTATCTCTGACTTTCACGCCACGTATGAATTTGTTATATTTTTCAGTGTTTTTAATGCAAATTTGTATTTTCAAATTTGTGGACTTTTTAATTTTTAGACTGACAAATTTTTAGATTAGAAAAATTTTAAAATGATAGTTGAAAATTTAAGCAACATTTAGAATGAAGCACAAATTTATTTAATAATAATTTAAAACAACAAAAGTAAATTTATTTTATAAAAAATGTAATGTAGTTATTTTTATTGTAACAAGAATAAATTAAAAAATTTTAAAATGATAGTTGAAAATAATAATTATTTATTAATTATATAATTATTTATTTATTTAATAATAATTTAGAACAACAAAAGAAAATTTATTTTATAAAAAATGTAATGTAATTATTTTTAATGTAACAAGAATAAATTAAAAAATTTTAAAATGATAGTTGAAAATAATAATTATTTATTAATTATATAATTATTTATTTATTTAATAATAATTTAAAACAACAAAAGAAAATTTATTTTATAAAAAATGTAATGTACTTATTTTTATTGTAACAAAAATAAATTTAAAAATTTAAAAATTTAAGCGACACGTAGTCTCAAACACAAATTCATTAAATAATTTACAACAACAAAAGTAAACTTATTTAATAAAAAATGTAACTCACAAGAATAAATTTAAAAATCTGTTTGAGCCCCTTTGCGATCAATAAGTCAATTATCAAGATACACTGCAAAATTTCATTGAAAGATAATAAAGTGTCTTGAATAGCTGCCAATGTCTGCTTGAAATATATTTACTCGAGCATATTAAAATTGTTCGAAAATAGACGTATGCCGATAGGATAATAATGGTCGTCGTTTATAAAACAAGTCAATGAAGCGCGTATTACACATCGGTGCTGCAGACGTTTGCATTAGCGAACTGAATCACCGTGTCGCATCACGTAGTGATACGAACATCGCCAGTATGCAAGAGAACACATTCACGTGCAGGTCGTTTCGAATGCAATGTACGTGATGCTATCACGGAATGGGGCGATCCTAGTTAGTTACCAGGCATCTATTGAACTCGTGCACTTTGAATTGTTCATGCCTTACGCGAAACTTGCTCTTCTACAAGTAATTGGAGGAAGTTTGGAAACTACTTTGTTTTGTCGTTTGGGAAATTCGAATGTTTCGTTGCTTTGAAATTTGTTTGGGAATTTTGAAAGATGGGAATTTGGGAGATTGGTAATTTGGAAATTTGGAAATTTGAGAGATTGGGAATTTGGGAGATTGGGAATTTGAAAATTTGGAAATTTGAGAGATTGGTAATTCGGAAATTTGGAAGTTTGAAAGATTGTCAATTTGAGAAAATTAATATTTATATCAAAATAATAGTCACAATTTCCAACTTTCTTAACTTCCTTACACATACAAATACAAGTTTCTAATTTTTCTTAAATTTTTACTGTTAATTATTATAATATAAATGTACAAAGGTAATTCTCGTTCAAATTTCGCGCCAAAATTGCGACCGAAGAGTGACACATTTATGAGCATACGTCCACGATGTGAATTGGGGAATATACTCCGAACAAAATGGACGAACAAGAGAAGAATGGATGTGAGTTCAGAGGATCAACTACATTCTAGCGTGAACTTGTTATTCAGGTGAAATGAGAATATATGTAACATAACTCTGTGGATGACACTTTCCTGTACGTGCAGCATCCCGTATGAATACCCGGGAACATGAATGGGGCGTGTAATCCGGAAATTTCCTTCTTCTTCTCGAGCGAAACTCCTGTTCGAATTAGGTCGTGGTAATTTGCATTGAATTATATGTAACGTGAAACCAGGGAAATTTTTACTCTTGTTTAAACCGAACATGGGTACGGTGGCAAGTTTGGGAATTTATGGGGATTTTAGAAGTTGGGAATTTAAGGATTTTGGGATTTGGAGAATTTTGGGATTTGGAGAATTTTGGGATTTGAAGGATTTGGGGATTTGGGGAATTTGGAGGATTTGGAGGATTTGTAGGATTTAGGGAATTTGGAGGATTTGGGGATTTGGGGATTTGAGGATTTAGGGATTTGGGGAATTTGGGGATTTGGGGATTTAGAGATTTGGGGAATTTTGGGATTTGGAGGATTTGGAGGATTTAGGGAATATGGAGGATTTATTGATTTGAAGATTTGGGGATGTGGAGATTTGGGGATTTGGGGATTTAGGGATTTGGAGGATTCGTGGTTTTGGAGATTTAGGGATTTGGGGAATTTTGGGATTTTGGGATTTGAAAATTAGGAATTGGGGGATTTTGGAATTTGAAGATTTAAAGATTTAGGGACTTGGTGGATTTGGGGAATTAGGGGGATTTGGGAATTTTGGGATTTGAAGATTTAGACATTTAGTAATTCAGAGAATGAGGGATTTGGCTATTTAGGGATTTGGAGATTTTGGAATTTATAAATGTCTACATGAGTCCACTGAACTACAGGAAGCCAGCTACTCAGTTCATTTAAAGAATTACAGATTTAAAGATCCACCAATTTACGAATTTAAGGATTTCCAAATACTTCGAAGACTAAATATATCCAAAAATCTGTGACTCTCCAATAACTCAAAACCTTCTGTAATTTATGGATTCCTTCAACGATCCATAAACCACGAAATAATTCCTAAATCATGAGCACCACCAAAATCCGCAGAAAATATCCCCAAAAGCGAAACAGGTGCCGCTTAACACCGTCCCAGTTCAATCTCCCAAACGCACGGTTGCTGAATAATTTCTCCCTCTGTTCGCAGAACCGTCGCACCTACTCAAAATGCAACGTGCTCTGCGGCGACTACCCCGTGCGGCTAGAGCTGAACTCAGGTCAGACGCGTCCTCGTCAAAACAGCGTGTTCATCGGTTCCAGCTCGTCCTTGCTTCCTGGGAGCCAAGGAACCCCTCGCCGCACCAAGAGCGCGTTCGACCTGCAATTCCTTGTGTTCTCCGAAAACAGCGAACTTCCAAGCGAAGATGCCTCGAAGAAGGCGAGCGAAGCCACAAAGCTCCTGCAGCGAGAACGAAAGACCAGCATTTGTCAGTTCGACAGAAACGAGGGGTTGAAACCGTTCCGGGACAGGGGAATGAGTATCTGCCAGTTCGACGCCTCCGCGAAGTTATGGCAACGGGATCGGGGCATGAGCATCTGCCAATTCGACAGAATGGACGTCCTGGCGCGGCCATTGCAGAGAGATCGCGGCGGCAGCATCTGCCAGTTCGATAGAATGGACGTTCTAGCGAGGCCGCTGCAGAGAGACCGGATCGGAAGTGCATATCACTTCGACAGAACGGAGGTGCTGGCGAAACCTAACCTCGGGAAGCCGGTGAAGGAGAGACGCGTGAGCGTGTGCAACTTCCTGGAAAAGGACGAGGAAATTGCGCGGGCTGCTCAAAAAGAGAGACGTTCGAGTATTAACATTGAGAACACTCGCAAGGAAAATGTGACTGTGGAAGAGAAACGAGAGATATTCGCTAAGTGCACGCCTAGGGAGAAGAAGATCGTATATCAACACGATCAGCCATCTTGTAGCAAAACGGCGGATGTCGTCTTTGGTTATAAGGCTACGTGCGTGTAGCGATGGTAAATTCTGATTTTATCGTGAGGGAACAATAATTTAATTGCGGATTTTGTATGTTTTGTTTTTGGTGTTGGGAAATGTACATCGGTGGGCAGTGTAGGCTTTTCTGGGGGAAATTGGGGGAGGAGGGTTCGGTTGGTTGCTGGGTGAGGTTAGGAATTTTTATAGTTAGTTTTGGTATTTTTGGGTCTGAGGGTTTTTATTTGGGAGGTTGGGGAGTTGGGGATTTAGGGATGTGAGGATTTGGGGATATGTGGATTTAGGGATGTGAGGATTTGGGGATTTGTGGATTTGAGGATATGTGGATTTGGGGATATGTGTCACAACCATCAGTTATAAAAATTCTAAACTCGAAACTTCACGTCCATTCTAGGCTGAACGTAGACGTTTATCGCAAGTACCAACTTCGTGAGATTAATACCTAGTAATTTGTAAACAAAGATATAAACTATTTTTTTAGGGATCGCAATTTATAGATGATTGTATAGAAAAAAAATATTACTGAACTCCTCCGTTGTGAGCACCCACGAACAAGTCCACACACAGCATCCGTCATTTTGACCAAACTATCGGGGTTATGGCAACTTTATTAAAACAGTAGTTCCAGAAATATAGCGCGGTCGTAAATGTCAGCGATCACTAAACTGATACGTAATTTCCGACGGCGATTTACGATTAGATTTATGACCGTGCTATATTTCCAGCTGCTATATAAGGCGCTGTATAAGATGACGATATACAGAGTGTTCCATTAAAAGTACCTCACGTTACCTTCAATAATTATCATTAAGGTAATTTCATATGAAAGACTTTTGTTGAAACTTTTATTAAAAGTTTCTGTTTCATAGATATTTCTTTGAGAAATAATTTACAGGTTTAAAAGCAACATCCTGTATATTGCATTTCCTGTGGTTAAATATTTCAGAAATCATGTACCGCGATTTGTTTCACAAGAGGTGAAACGTCGACGTGAATTATCGCCACCCTATATATGTTTTGCACCATAATGGCCTGCGCGTATTAACACCGGGTGGGGTGCATAACGCATCGAATCGCACAAGTGTCGCTACGCACACTAACGTGTCCGTCTGCAATGCATCGCATTGCGACATAAAAATTTCCCTCGGAAAACTTCTGGCCATTGTCAACTGTCGTCAGAATCACACGGTGCATTAACGGTGTTACTTTCAGGCAATCGCAAAACTTCTGAAATATCTGCTAAATAAAAAAAATATTTATTGGGTGAATAATTTGTACAAATGGGTGCCTATGATGGAGGATCTCAAACTGTTAATAAATGAAATACATTTGAGCACTTCTGAAATAATATTGCCATCATGTGAAATTAGAAGCAATCTTTATTGTATACTGATATGAAGAAATAATTGTTAGCTATTTATAAGTAATTGAAGCTATTGAATTTTTATTGGAAATTTGGGAGATTGGGAATTTGGGAATTTGGAAATTTGAGAGATTGGGAATTTGGGAGATTGGGAATTTGGAAATTTGGAAATTTGGGAGATTGGGAATTTGGGAGAATGGGAATTTGGGAGATTGGGAATTTGGGAGATTGGTAATTTGGGAGATTGGTAATTTGGAAATTTGGAAATTTGGAAATTTGAGAGATTGGTAATTTGGAAATTTGTTGAGAAAATTTATTTAGTTACTTTATGGCAATTCGAATTTCCCGCCAGGCGCAGTTTAAATGGCGGACGCTCCCCCGAGACTCCCGCGGCGAATAAAACATTAATTCGACGCAACTTTAATACTAAAATGCTGATACTATCAAACATGTGACCTCCCAAAGCTCTATATTCCCAAAGCTCTATCAATTATGTACACGAACGCGAATTTTATTCCTACCGAATTTAATTACGATATTATTTCAGACAGTCCACGTATTCCTTTTATTAACAATTTCAGAGTGAAAAGTTCACTTTCTTGTTAAATAACGTTCGATAGTACCAAAATTACCAAAATACGAAACCGTTTGAATATTACGTAAAGAAATCAGAATGGTACGGGTATTTTATTCTTGTATGTAAATTTCCTGTCATTTGGATGCAGTGTGTCCTCTTATCATAGTCGTTTACTACAAGAATGCCGTAGATGTACTATACGGAAACTGTCGCGATTTGCATGTCAAGTGTGTTACACTTGAGACGAGGCATCCATTTTGTCGAGTGGCGGTTCAAAATGGAGGACATATGAAAGCGTGCGCTAATGCGAAGCGAACGATACAGTTTCATACCTGCGTACACGGAGATAGGGAAATGATGACATTACGAGGGATTACGATTTCGTTCAAAGGATAAGGATTGAAATAACTGCGGCCATCTTTCATACCTAGCATCTTTACAATGTTCTTTCTTTAACGTTCTTTCTCCCTGAATTCAGCACAAGGCCTGGTAATTTCAAGTATTGTATGATGCTTTACCGAACTTAGGTTATGTGTGTTAACAAGGTAATTGTGTTTTATTGTAGAAAGAATTTGTACTTTCATATGATGTGACTTGAATGAGGTGTTTTATCTTGAATTGCGAGATGAAATTATGTGGGAGGACACTGTTACGCCTTTGTGACTCACGATTGTAAAAGTATGGAGGTTGATGTTGTAGATTCTTCACTTTGTCGAGTATTACTTGGAGGAATTGCCTTCTGGTATATTGCCGTGTTGGGATAGGTGGACAGTAAATGTTGGGTAGGGGTGCACTAGTTACCAAATTTCCTATCTCTCAATTTTCCAAATTGTAACATTCCCCAATTCCCATAATTCCCGATTCCCATATTGTCCAATTCCCATATTGTCCAATTCTCATATTGTCCAATTCCCACATTCCCCAATTCCACATTTCCCAATTCTCACGTTCCCCAATTCCCACGTTTCCTAATTCCCACGTTCCCTAATTCCCACGTTTCCCAATTTCCACGTTCCCCAGTTCCCACGTTCCCCAGTTCCCACGTTCCCCAGTTCCCTCGTTCCCCAATTCCCACATTTCCCAATTTCCACGTTCCCCAATTCCCACATTCCCCAATTCCCACATTCCCCAATTCCCACATTCCCCAATTACCACATTCCCCAATTTCCACATTTCCCAATTCCACATACCCCGATTCCCACATTCCCCAATTCCCAAATCCCCCAATTCCCAAATCCCCCAATTCCAATTCTCAAATCCCCCAAGTCCCAAATCTCCCAATTCCCAAATCTCCCAATTCCCAAATCCCCAATTTCCAAAGCCACCAATTCCCAAATCCCCCAATTCCCAAATCCCCCAATTCCCAAATCCCCAATTACCAAATCCCCAATTCCCAAATCCCCCAATTCCCAAATCCCCCAATTTCCAAATCTCCCAAATCCCCAATTCCCAAATGCCCAAATTTCATCTTCCAAAAATCCCTAAATTCCCAAATTCTAAATCCCCCAACCCCCGAATCGCTAAATTTCCAAATCTCCAACCCTCAAAAGCCCCCCAAAAAGCCTACAAACTTAAATTTTTCCAATCAAAAAATCTCCTCCGCCATTTTCCCCATGTCCACCATGTTTGCCAACGGCGCCATCTACTGTTAACGTTTCTCTTCACGCGCATGCGCAATTGTACAGCAACTGACAAAGTTCGTCAAACCGATACTTCAAATACTGCAATTTACGCATCCGTTTCACATAAATTATTTCTTATGCAAAGAATATAATCAATTTCTCGTTAACCTCTTTCCGAACTTATCAATTATTCATATCGTATATGTAAATACTTTTTGTACGTACAACTGAATGCATATTGTATTTGTTAATGGAATTCGTGTAAAAACAGACACAATGTGTTGTCGTTTCTTTAATGTGTGTATGTACTTAACATAATTTTTATAATTTAACGACGGAGAACACTGTACGTGAAGCAAATAAAGATTCCCTTTCCGCATTTATACACGGGCGATTTCTGTTCATTAAGTTTAAACGAAGAATAAGGAATATGGTTATAATTATGAAATGTGTATAATAAAATTTATATTGTATTTCGAGTGTAGTTTATTTATGAATCTTTATAATTTTATTTTGACTGTTGGAGAGTTGAGAGAAATTTGAATAAATTATAAGCTAGTTGAGGCATAATATTTTTCACTGCTCATTAATCGTAGAGATTAGGACAAAGTATTATAGGTGTACTTCATGATGCGAGTCATGCAAACGAATAGTGCAGTGGTCAGTCATGTCCAAACATAGCTAGTTTATTCTTAGGACGAATGGGATTCGAGTACAACGCCCTCAGGGTCCTAATTTGACGACCAAATTAGAACCATCATTTACCACTTATAGAAATAATCCAATTATTATTTACAAAAAGTATATAAATAAAATTAGAGAATCAGTATTTTTATTATTCACATTTATTTGATAGGTCGTTGCATTTCATTTAAATTAACAAAGTACTTAATATAAATTAATGATCAAAGTAATAAATTGATCCGCCATGTTGATCTTAATCGTAAATGGCGGGAAATTCAAATTTGTTTAAGAAGAATTAATAAAGTCTATTGATCTAGAATTAAATAGCATTACATTATTAATGTATAAAAATATTATTGTCAAGTATTTGTTTAAATCGTCTGAACCTTTAATTTTTAATAAAAGTAAATGATTTTTTTAGATGATCAAATAAATAACAAAAATTGCTACAAGAAATTAAAACTCAGTTTGTTTAAATCTCACATTTGTTCTCTGACGATAAAGAGTAAAACGTGTTCTATCTATGTACAGCACAGCCAACTAACGGTGGAAATGAAAACTACATTTATTTCACCGGTCGGTAATCTAAGGAGAGTAGTACCTGGTACAGTATTATACTACAGGGTGATTCAGACAATTTGGACAGTTTCTCACTCTTCATCAATTAAATTTTTTCTATATATCATAATCAACTTGCAGACTTCAGATATTCAGAATTAATTATTAATATTAATTGACATTATTAGTATAATGTACATCGCTTGTACTTATGCATTTTGAATTTCCCGCGCTTTCACCAATAACCAATCTTGACCACCAAAAGTTAACAAAGTGACTATAAAAATTAATAATTAAATTTTACAAAAAATTCATGGCAAAATCAGTTTCTTAGAAACTATAATGAATCTTAAAAAGTAGAATAGAACTATGGCAAGTTTATGATTGCGTATCTCATTAAAAAAGTCCAATTCGCGAAAAAAGGATATCCGGTGACACAAACGTCACGTGATAGAATTTCAAGATGGATAACCTAAGATGATGACGCGTCCACGGTTTCGCACCCCACGTTTTTTGCACAACGGGCTTAGAAATGGTTCTTCTAAATCGTCTGGGTCATTTATCAACACCTTGTCCTGCGACCTTACCACGAACACTCCAACACGCTTGATATATTTCTTACGCCTCGTCCAGTGATGGATGATGGAAGACGCATATGTTCGGCTGGATGGATCAGGGACTATTACGTTTTATCGACTCTAACAAATGATGATGAGCGCGGGAAAAAAACTTTCCCTATCGATTCAACTACCTACTTTATCCTTTGAGGCTCCTTTTCTCGGGCTCATTTTGCTTCAGATTATAGTAGTAGAAATTTAGATTATAGATTCCGATTTTGGTGGACAAAATATTTTTAGTTAGGTTAGGTGGAATGAATTATTTTTTTAGTTTTTCAAAGATAATTTGTGTTTGTACTAATTTATATTTTATTTATATTTGCTTGTGGACAATTTTAAGTCTGAGGAACATACTTAATATTTCTAACCTCTTCTTAGGTGAGGTTAGGTTATGTCAGTATGTGGAATGAGTTAAAGTATATTAGTTTATTATGTAGTTCTTTCATATTTAATTTATATTGGGTTGTACATAGTTTCAATTTTGAAGAACCTATTTAATAACATTTCTAACCTCTTCTCAGGTGAGGTTAGGTTATGTCAATACATGGAATGAGTCATAGTATGTTAGCTTAGTCTGTAGTTCTTTCATATTTAATTTATATTGGGTTGTACATAGTTTCAATTTTGAAGAACCTATTTAATAACATTTCTAACCTCTTCTTAGATGAGGTTAGGTTATGTCAATACATGGAATGAGTCATAGTATGTTAGTTTATTCTGTAGTTCTTTCATATTTTATTTATATTGGGTTGTACATAGTTTCAATTTTGAAGAACTTATTTAATAACATTTCTAACCTCTTCTCAGGTGAGGTTAGGTTATGTCAATACATGGAATGAGTCATAGTATGTTAGCTTAGTCTGTAGTTCTTTCATATTTAATTTATATTGGGTTGTACATAGTTTCAATTTTGAAGAACCTATTTAATAACATTTCTAACCTGTTCTCAGGTTAGGTTAGGTTATGTCAATACATTGAATGAGTCATAGTAATTTTAAAGTTAAATTAAATTCTTTTCAAGTTAAGTTTTTCTTAACATTTTTAAATTAAAATTTTTCTTTAGACTGCATTTTTAATATATCTCAAAGAGTACACGTACAGCGCGTGACCTGCGAAACATAACCTCAAATTCATAAGCACATCAGTGGAAGAAAAGGATATAGTAAAATATTCAAATACGTTAGACCCTAGTTATCCCCTTCAGGGATCTAAGGGATATTTATGAGCAAAGGATCGAGAACGCAAAGCTTAAACCTTGAAGATATTAATTCTGCATACCGTTGAAATAGTAGAAGTTCTGTAAGGTGAACCGTAGATTAATTTTCACCACCACAATTTGCCCGCGAATGCGGATTACTTCCCGAATATTACTTACAGGTAAAATTATACTGTTAAGGGTATAATCATAGACAAAATTAATCTTTTTATTACTAAATCATGACCCACTTTTTATTAATGCTACAACCTTCAAATGGCTTACAATCTTACTCTTTTATCATCTAAAAAATTTCTGAAGCTACAAATTCATCTTTACATTTACGCCATATAAACTCCCGTCAGGTATTTTCTCCAACAGTGAAAATAATGGATGTGTTCATAAACATGATGGATCAAAATGTAATGTACCTGTTATTTGTAGCAAGAGTCAATTTGAAAAGGCACATCCTAAAGAAGTCATAAATAAAAGACACATTCAAACGTCACCCAAACAAATGAAATTTGAAATTCAAATATTTTCCCGCCATAATCACTCTTCATGTTGGTCTCACAAACCAACTACCAACACCTGTAAATTATTATACTTCCCTTAATACAAAAGAAACTATTATCTTTCGCTATTTTATCGAATGTCTTACTATTTCAACCATAACCACAAAATGGCTCCTTCTTCTTCGATCAATGAACCGTCTCGTAAAATTCACCCAAAGCAATCGCATATCGATACGCTCTTACTACCTGTATTATATAACGTTAGTCGACTCTCTAGGTCATTTTCCATAGAAAACGATCGCTTAGTTGACCACGAGCGAAGTAGCCTCAATCTAATCGGTCAAGTTGAGTCGTTAGCCTTGCTGGCCAGTTATCCAAATACTAGGTCAAGGTTAGCAGACATCTGACGAATAAACCCGGTACCTGATTGCTCATTTCTCATGGCTAGACAAGATTACATTTTACCACACTGCAATTTCCGTCCTGGCAAACTGTTCTTTTACTTGCAGTTCCTATCGACTCAATTACCCCTCGAGGGAACCTCGTGATCGTTGCAACACCGATTTCAAACTTCGCACGATTATTGAGCATATCTGAGGTAGTCATTTTGGAGAACTGCAACTGTTTGAAAAAGAAAAATGGCGGGATAACTTGGGATAGAAGGGAGTTTGTCTTTGAGCATATCTGAGGTAGTCATTTTGGAGAACTGCGACTCCTTGGAAAAGGAAAATGGCGGGATAACTTGGGATAGAAGGGAGTTTGTCTTTGAGCATATCTGAGGTAGTCATTTTGGAGAACTGCGACTTCTTGGAAAAGGAAAATGGCGGGACAATTTGAGATAGAAGGGAGTTTGTCTTTGAGCATATCTGAGGTAGTCATTTTGGAGAACTGCGACTCCTTGGAAAAGGAAAATGGCGGGATAACTTGGGATAGAAGGGAGTTTGTCTTTGAGCATATCTGAGGTAGTCATTTTGGAGAACTGCGCCAAGTCTTTAAAAAAGGAAAATGGCGGGACAATTTGAGATAGAAGGGAGTTTGTCTTATGGCGATTTTAACATCTGGACTGCATCTGTAACTTCTTGAAGATATCTTTGACGTTATCTGTGAGAGGTTCTTCAAATTAAATACAATAAAGTCTTGTTAAGTCTCTGGGATTATAATGATATGGTATCTTTACGGAAGATCCGAGTTTCTAGCTATACTTATCCCTTTGTGTTTGACTTTTTAAGTCGCTGATTTTCCGGTTGTAATTTTTCTCTTGATGTGTGAGCACGGACAATGCTCGCTGTAAGGAGGATGATTATGCACTATTGTAGTGTTAGTGAATACTGTCAATATTTATACTGTATGAGAATATTTGGTGCTTCTCTTCAAATATGATCACGTGGCGCTCTAGTATGCAAGATGGTGAACAACGGAGGCCTTTGTAGCATCGGAGGTCGACCAACTGCTTTTCAAATTCTAAAATTTTCTCAAGATGTAATTGAAATTTTTAATAATTGTAATTTTTGCAAGATGTAATTATAATTTTTAATAACTATAATTTTTGCAAGATGTAATTATAATTTTTAATGGTAATAATTTTTGCAAGATGTAATTATCATTTTTAATGGTAATAATTTTTGCAAGACACAATTATAATTTTTTATGGTAATAATTTTTGCAAGATGTAATTATCATTTTTAATGGTAATAATTTCTGCAAGATATAATTTGCAAATTAGAAACTTAGAATTTAGAATTGACTAAATTTTGAAATCAGGGAAAATCATTTGCAAAGCTACAAATTTAGTAATATTCTTTAGTACTCTCTTGTGGTGTAAAAAATTTTAATACCACTTTACCAACATACTTTAATAATCTCTTTTATCTTCAGCAATTTTAATTTTACAAAACCAACTTCGAATACATAAATTCATTCAGATGTTCAAATTTAATTGCACTTTACCAACATACTTTAATAATCTCTTCTATCTTCAGCAACTTTAATTTTACAAAACCAACTTCAAATACAAAAATTCAATCAGGTGTTCAAATTTAATTCCACTTTACCAACATACTTTAATAATTTCTTCTATCTCCAGCAATTTTAATTTTACAAAACCAACTTCAGAAACAAAAATTCGTTCAGGTGTTCAAATTTAATTCCACTTTACCAACATACTTTAATAATTTCTTCTATCTTCAGCAATTTTAATTTTACAAAACCAACTTCAAATACATAAATTCAATCAAGTGTTCAAATTTAATTCCATTTTACCAACATACTTTAATAATTTCTTCTATCTTCAGCAATTTTAATTTTACAAAACCAACTTCAAATACAAAAATTCATTCAAATGTTCAAATTTAATTCCACTTTACCAACATACTTTAATAATTTCTTCTATCTTCAGCAATTTTAATTTTACAAAACCAACTTCAAATACATAAATTCATCTACATGCTCAAGTAAAAAATGTTCAAATAATCAAATGTACCAAGCAATGTAATAAGCAATGACCATATAATTGAACAGTCAAACAGAAAAATTAGAAAGATAGGAACTCCCGTTCTCTGGTCTTCAGACATCCGAAGGTGATCCAGTTGGGAGTCCATCGTAACAACAGCTCGCATTATGCCCAGGATGAGCGCCGAGAAAGGGACTTAATCGTTGTGAGCCGCTTATAAGAGCGCGACAGTCGAATGCTTCATTCAGTTCAGTTAACGTGACCCAAGGCAAACCAGTCCCTGGTGCTTATCTAACGATAAAATTGCTTATCGTTTTCCTCTTTTTTCGCATCTGTCAATTTTCTGTCCACGGTTAGGCAGTGACTGCATAGAAAAATTGTGGTGCGAGTTCCTTTGGCGTTGAAAAAAGTAAACTTGTCATTTTCCTTTTAATGCAAGTTTTATTTGATTCAAGTTTCAGTGCGAAAGTGTTTGAAAGACACGTGAATTTATGTGTTTGGAATTTATGTGTACTGTGAATGAATAATTCATTGTTGATTATGGATGAGAAAGTATAAACATTCTTGTGAATTGAGAGGTGAAATAAGGTTTTTGTTCATTTTTTGTTTATGTAAAATTATTTGTAAAGGGGGAAGTTCAAAAATTATAAATAATTCTATTTGAGTTTCTTGAGCTTGGACTTTCACGTGTTTTGTCAAAGAAGGAGTTTCTTCATTTGTATGCATGAGAAATGCTAATTTGTTTTTAGAAATCTTTCAATACCTTTCTCCACATATTTTCACTAACTTAATTATTTTGAAATTTTCTCACTGAATTTGTCTTCGAGCGAGTAAAGAATTTGAACAAATTTCAAAATTCAATTCAGATAATACTTGAGAATATTGTTCAAATAAATTGTTCGAAAATAAAAAAAAATACGGAAATGTTATAAATTTTTAATTTTATTAAATGACTTAAAATTGAGTGATAATAGCAAAAGATTGGTGCTACAATCTGAAGCGTAGAAAAATTAAAATAAATGTCAGATAAAATTAAATTTGAATAGCCTGGTCGTTCCTTATTTAAATTTAGAATCCGACACGAGGAATATTTTTGTTTACAATATTCGTTATTAAGTTCTATTTTGGAAAATCGTAGAGTACTCGAGTGGCAGCCACGTGGATTTCAAAGCGTACTCTGATTTCAATAATGAATTTCTTGCGTGCTAATGAACTTTGTGAATGTTGCGTAACCATTACTTAAGCATCGAAATTGTAAACATGTTAGTATATTTACTCAAAAGTCGCGAATGACGAAACGAACGTTTTTTAATGTCATACAATCGAAGTTTCCGCAAGTCATCGTTAATGAGAGAAGCAACGTTAGATTATCGAATGCCTGGCACAGCAAACTCTCGTTATTTTGCCGTAAAGTTTACAAACTTTACAAATGATTGATAAAACTTTACAAATGATTGACAAAACTTAGATTTACAAAAGTAAGTTCACAAATTTAATTTACGAATTTATAAATGTTAAAATTTGGTTAATTTAGGCTTGCCAGAAATGAATGTACTGGGAACACTGTGAAAACGGCCATGTAACGAGAGTCAACTTCCAAACCTCTCTTACCAGAGAGTACCAAGTAAAAAATGACAAGGGTATACAAGTCCTAAAATAAATAATTACCAAGATATCAAGATTTTCAGACCAATTACCGTAATCGGTAAAGTTCGGGACACATCGGGTAAGATCGGACGGACATCCTGGATCAATGACCGAATCGAAACGCGTTCAATTGAATTTAATTCTATCGACTATAAATATGAAGTGCATTACATAGACTTAAAAATCATTGAACTGAATTGCATGCTGCTGAACAGTATCAAGATTGCATTCAATTGAACCTTGTCAAATTGCATCGGATGCACGATAAACTTGCAGGTTTGGGAATTGGGGATCTGGGAATTGGGGATTTGGGAATTGGGGAATTTGGGAATTGGAGGATTTGGGAATTGGGAAATGAGGGAATTGGGGAACGTGGGAATTGGGGAATGTGGGAATTGGGGACTGTGGGAATTAGGGGATTTGGGAATTGGGGAATGTGGGAATTGGGGACTGTGGGAATTAGGGAATGTGGGAATTGGGGAATGTGGGAATTGGGGTATGTGGGAATTGAGGAATGTGGCAATTGGGGAATGTGGGAATTGGGGAATGTGGGAATTGGGGAATGTGAGAATTGGGAAATGTGGAAATTGGGGAATGTGGGAAATGGGGAACGTGGAAACTGGGGAACGTGGGAATTGGAAAATGTGGGAATTAGGGAATATGGGAATTGGGGAATGTGGGAATTGGGGACTGTGGGAATTAGGGGATTTGGGAATTGGGGAATGTGGGAATTGGGGACTGTGGGAATTAGGGGATTTGGGAATTGGGGAATGTGGGAATTGGGGGATTTTGGAATTGGAGGATTTGGGAATTGGGAAATGAGGGAATTGGGGAACGTGGGAATTGGGGAATGTGGGAATTGGGGACTGTGGGAATTAGGGGATTTGGGAATTGGGGAATGTGGGAATTGGGGAATGTGAGAATTGGGGAATGTGGGAAGTGGGGAACGTGGAAACTGGGGAACGTGGGAATTGGAAAATGTGAGAATTAGGGAATATTGGAATTGGGGAATGTGGGAATTCGAGGACGTGGAATTGGGGAATGTGGAATTAGGAAACGTGGGAATTGGGGAATGTGGAATTCGGAAATGTGGGAATTGGAGAATGTGGAATTGAAAAATGTGGGATTGGGGAATATTGGAACTGAGGAATGTGAAAATTGGGGAACGTGGAATTGGGAAATGTAGGAATTGTCCAATATTCGAATTGAAAATATAGAAACTCAGGAATCTGAGAATATAAAAATTTGAGAACATTTTTCACACGCCAACTGATGGCGTAACATCAGTACAATAAAAATAAATGAAGAAATATTACTCCTAGAAGTCCTCACGTTTGACACCGCCTGTACAGAAGCAAGTAAAGGCGGGCTACTTTCATTCGTTACAGTTAACCGTCATCAAGATTAATATCGTGACAAAGGGACGCATTCACAGCTACCAAGAACTCGATTTTTTTCAATCACCTCGTATTAAATTGTCCAATCCCGAAAGATCTTATCGAAACGAATTGTCTGGAATTTAAAGCGCCATTAGACGTTGATTACGCCTCGCATGATACCAATTCGTTTATGGCAGCGTTCGACTCGGAGAAACTTGAAGAGCGCGTCGTTAAAAGCAGCCAGCTTCTTCCGGAAAGTTTCATCTGCAGATTCCCGTTGGAGCAACCTTGAAAACTTTAACTGGCAGTCTTTTATTTTATTTCTTCGTTGAAACTAGAAATTTAACGGGTTAATACTGCAGGAAAGTGACGAGTTAAACTCGATTTGAAAAAGAAATATATGTGTGAACTAAGTGAACGTAAAATGAAAAAGAAGTTAAGGGATGAAAAGGAAAGAAGTTACAAAAGCTTGTAAACAGTGTAAATCGTATTAGTGAAAAAATTAATTACAGGATTCTAAATTCAAAATCCAGTCATGGCACCACCAGAAACGTGAGTTCGCAGTTTAATGTAAAAGTAGTGACGGCTATAAACCGTATATTACACATAAAATTTTGTCCAATTAGAACAATAATCCAACCTGTTTTTAATAATCAATCTTAACCTTCAAATTTTCTACAGTTCTTAATTTTTTAAATTTTGAAAGAATATAAATTATTTTTATATACAAAATGTATGTACAAATAAGGCAATTAATCTCTACATATAGAAATATAAAGATTTTATTCGATTAAGAGAATTCATCGCAACGTAGTATAATGAAATTTTTAATTAAATTATAAGAAACTTAAAATATGACATGGTTGATTAATTTGTTTACTGAAATACATTTTTAGCGAAGAGAGTCATTCGATGCTCGGCTATCGTTCGGTAGATTATGTGAAAGTGACGAAGGCCGAAAATGTTTGCGAAGATATTGAAAATAACAATACATACGACGAAGAGAAGATATTCGACGACAGAAACGAGCTACCGCAATATTCGTCAAATTCTAAAGGTGTATTTGCACAGGTGAGAATAAAAGAGAAGTTGAAGTATGTTTTAGCATGTTTTTTTTTTTATTGTAATGTGAAGTAAGTGGAAGGATAATGTTGCAAATTAGTTCATTTTGGTAAATGGTAGAGGGACGTGAGAAATTTATTTTGGAATATACTGGGAGGGGATTTGGAAATTTGGGGAATTTAGGGAATTTGGGATTTCGGAGAGTTTGGGAATTGGGGAATGTGGGAATTGGGGGATTTGGAAATTGGGGAATGTGAGAATTGAGGAATGTGGGAATTGGGAATGTGGGAATTGGGGAATGTGGGAATTGGGAAATGTGGGAATTGGACGATGTGGGAATTGAGGAATGTGGGAATTGGGGAATATAGGAATTGGGAAATGTGGGAATTGGGGAATGTGGGAATTGGGGAATGTGGGAATTGGGGAATGTGGGAATTGGGGAATGTGGGAATTGGGGAATGTGGGAATTGGGGAATGTGGGAATTGGGGAATGTGGGAATTGGGGAATGTGGGAATTGGGGAATGTGGGAATTGGGGAATGTGGGAATTGGGGAATGTGGGAATTGGGGAATTTGGAAATTTGGAAAATTGGAAAATTGAGAATTCGACAATTTAGAAATTTGAGAATTTAGAAATTTGAGAATTTGGAAATTTGAGAATTTGGAAATTTGAGAATTTAGAAATTCTTTAATTTGGAAATTTTCATTCTGCCTCCCATTCCATTGGCAAATTCCTCTTCCCCAAACCTTCACACACCCACTCCCACAATTCCTCATCCACGGCAATATATCGAGAGTCTCCAATAAACAAACATCAATAATTTCCAAACAGGCCTGCATCAATTACAGCCAACAACGTTGCAACAACACGTAATTCTCAAATATTCATCTCGTAAACTCTGTTCCAGTGTTTAGTATGCGGTGCAGTTTTGTTACTAGCAACCGGTGGAGGAATGCCAATTGGTTACAGCGCCATTCTCCTACCACAATTAGCTCAAGACAATGGTACAATGCATGCTGATCAAGAGCTCGGATCTTGGATAGGTATGTATATCGTCGCAAAGCCAATATTCTTTATCCTTCGATTCAAACATTTAACTTGTTTCACAATATTGTTACCTTCGAGCATTGTTCAGAGCTAGAAAGCAGGCATATGACTCCTTAACACTCTCCTGTCACGTGATTCAATTATGACTGAGGGGAAGAGACAAATGGGGAAGGTTCTAAATCGACTGATGATCGCTTAATCTATCTACTCAATGAAAAAATTACGTTTCATGTAATATAAAATAAATCTGAAACAGGTCGGGTAACGATCATTGGCTATTCAATACGGGTGATGAAACTTAAGGAAACAAGGGGGATTTTGGCAACTGATCGAGCTGGAACTCCGTTCCAAGAGAAGTTTCAAGTAAAAAATTGTACAGGAAAGAACATCGCACAAATCTTGGACTTTTAATGGCTCTGGTTGAAACGCTGCCATTTTGTAGTCTGACTGCTAGTTAAAAATTATTGTTAACCCGACTGGAGTCTGGTTTTATATTTTGATATTCAAGAGTTAGTTACATTAGCTTTCATATGAACTCTATGTCAGTTGCCTGTTAGGTTAGGTCAGGTTAGGTTACGGTCGGTTCTAAGTTAACCCAACTCAAATATCACTCTTCTCATTTATTATTGATCTGTTCAATGCATGTTGCAGCTAGGTTATGTTAGGTTAGGTTCACTTCTAAATTACCTAACCCAGCTCAAGTATCAATTATGTTATTTAGAATGTGGGAATTGGGGAATGTGGAAATTGGGGAATGTGGAAATTGGGGAATGTGGGAATTGGGGAATGTGGGAATTGGGGAATGTGGGAATTGGGGAATGTGGGAATTGGGGAATGTGGGAATTGGGGAATGTGAGAATTGAGAAATCTGGGAATNGATATGTGTAAATTGGGATATGTGGGAATTGGGGAATGTGGGAATTGTGGAATGTGTAAATTGGGATATGTA